GAAATTGGGAGGAAAATCTCGTGATGTTGATTCATTTGTAGATCAGTTAAAAGAAGAAGGAGAAAATGTTGTAACAACTCCCTTACCTACAACAGGTGCAAAACCAACATCACTTACACCGCAGATAATCAATACTGAACCGTAAGATATTTATTTATTTATTATTAATATTTATTATTTATTATTATTTATTTATTATTTATTAACCGTAAGATATTTATTTATTTATTTTATATGTAAATATATTATTAATAAATTTATAATTATTTGCTTTATATTAAGAGTTCATTTACGACAAGAAGAACGTCTTAATGTCAGAATTGGTCGAGATGGTGGTTTACAACATTTTGAATTGCATGGTTTAGTGACATTACATATTTCGGATGAAAAATGGGGTCGAATTCGTGTACAATTAGAAAACAGAGATACAAGAGGAGTTCAAGTACAAACGCATCCTAATGTGGATAAAGAATTATTCAGAACACGTGGTCAAATAGGCTTAAAAATTCCTACAAAACCATTTCCATTGAATACTGATGTTGGAGTATTAAAATGGCGATTGCAAGCTCAAGATGAGACAGCATTACCTATTTCAAGTACGAATCATTTACTGAATACAAATTAATTATAATTAAGTTAAATTTTTTAAAATATATTTTAATATATATATATAATATATAATAAATAGATAATTCTTTTTATTATTTAAAATAGTTAATTGTTGGCCATCTGAAAATGGAGAAGGTGGATGTGATGTGAATATAGAATATGAATTAGAACAGATTAATCTAGAATTAAATGATGTTCAAATAAATATTCCATTACCTATGGGATGCAATCCTATAGTAAGCGAATGCGATGGACAATATACACATGAAGCACGACGAAATACACTTATATGGTCTTTACCAGTGGTTGATGCAACAACGAAATCAGGTTCAATGGAATTCTCAGCACCTTCTTCTACTCCTGCAGATTTTTTTCCTCTTCTTGTTTCATTTTCATCTAAGACATCATATGTCAATATTAAAGTAAATTATCTTTTATTCATATTATTTATATATTATTTATATAATTAAAAAAAATGAAATAAGTTTCAGTATTCATATATGTATATAATTAAACAAATTTATAATTTTTATAGGTAACTGAAGTTTTACTTGTAGAAGATGAAAGTCCTGTTAAATATTCAGTAGAGACAGTTTTCTTTACTGATAATTATGAAGTGGTATAAAATATATCTATTACATAATAAGATAATTGCTCGTGCTAAGTATGTACAAAAATACAAAACTAGCACTGTCCATTGGAATTTCAAAGATAAAGATTTTCAGCTTATTTATCATTCAGGTTATAATTTTATTCTCATACAACCATTATTTTACCAATGGATGCTTGAATGAATTTCAAGCATATACATATATACATATTAATTGAACAATTAGTTTCAATTTAGTACATGTCTAATATTAAACTATTACAGGAAATTGTATACAGATATTTTATAATTGGTAAAAAAATATTACCGAAGATTTTATGAATTACACTTATTATTATCAACATACAAAAATTATATACATTAATTTTATTTTAATTTTTTCAAACTGTTTCTTTATGAATTTTGTAGTTGCAAAACTTTTTAGTAAAACTGAGATACATATATTATTTACAAAATATGGAAATATTTTTTTCATACATACATACATA